CCTGGCCCACCAAGCCCTGAGGACAATATTCCTGCTCAGAGCAGACAACGCACAGAGAGGATCATAGGGCCGGCCCCACCACAAGACACGACGTCCCTCACTGAACCATAGCGCTGTGGGGTAAAACACTGGAGACACAGTGCGGAAACTGGGGCATGCAACAGAGTAGCCCCGGGGAATACCAAAAATAGACTTTGGAGACAAGAGTGTGGCACCCCATCAGACTCGACTGGAAAACACTCCTAAAGGCCAACAAACACTTTCAACTACTGATTGGCTTTTCCATTTTTGTCAGTGGCTTTCTTTTTGTTGTTGTTGTTTTTTGTTATTGTTCTGTTGGTTTTGACTTCCTTTGTTGTTTTGTTTGGCTCTGCCTGGTTTTTGCGCTTATTAGTGTCTTTCTGCATGTCTATCTAGATGAGATAGGCAGGATAAACAATTCGGAGATGATAAGAACAGGACCTATGGTTCCGGGGGGGATACGGGAGAAGGGGAGGTGGGAGAAAGGAAGGTGGGGCGAACCAACCCAGGGACAAGAGAACAAGTGAACTAAAATCAATGGAAAGAAGGGTGTAGGATGTCTAGTGGAGCTTAATTAAAGTCAATGTAACAGTGAAGAATTACCATATATACTCGTGTATAAGCTGAGTTTTTCCAGCACATTTTTAATGCAGTTTTTGTGGTAAAATCAGGTGCCTTGGTTGATATTCCGGTTGGCTTATACTGGAGTATATGGGTACTAAACCCGAATGAAGGCCAAACATGATGGCGGGACAAGAGGAAAGTAAAAGAAAATAGAGGAAAGAACCAGGAGGCAAAATACATTTATAGAGGTGTACATACAGGCATGTATATATGTAAATATATTTATCTATAATGATAGGGAAATAGATCTATGTACTTATCTATATACATATATGTTAAGAATTAAGGTTCCAGATGGACATTGGGCCTCACCTCAAGTACTCCCTCAGCACAAGAAAGCTTTGTTCTAATAATCCAGCATTCTGTGATGCTCACCTTCCCGACACAATCACTAAAGACAAAATGGGT